GTTCTGCCTGGGAGGGGGAGCCTTGAAGGGACCATACTGCCTTCCCTGGTGGTCCAGTGGTGAGAGTGAACTCTAACCTGCGGGTTAGAATTCACTCTCGCGAGATCTGAGCGTTGCCGTGGTAACCGCGGCAACGCTCAGAATCCCGCGAGAGGACCCGGCGGAGCTGCTGGTTAGAGCTCCGCCGGGTCCTCTCTCCTCCCTCCCCAGCCGGCGGCCCCCTTTTTCCTGTCTGTGGGCCGGTGAGGGAGATCTGTGATCTCCCCACCGGCCCATGGAGGCACACAGCGGGGCCGGCGCTCAGATAGCGCTGGCCCTGCAGGGGCCGGCAGGGGAGATCCCTGCCGGCCTCGGCCCCACGGCCATCGCGGCCCACCGGGCATTTGCCCGGTGTGCCCGATGGCCAGTCCGGGCCTGGCATACACTAACACAACACACACACTGCATACACTAACACAACACACACACTGCATACACTAACACAACACACACACTGCATACACTAGTACAATACACTCTGCATTCATTCCACACTAACACACTCTGCATTCATTCCACACTAACACACTCTGCATTCACTATACTGACACACACTCTGCACTCACTACACTAACATACACTTTGCATTAACTGTACACACAGCATCCACTACACAAACATTCCATATTCACAGTACACACACTACATCCACCACAAATTGAAACACTCTGCATTCACTATACACAGACACTGCATCTAATACACACTACATCCACTACAGACACTGCATCCACTAAACACATTTTATCTAGTACACACAAACACTACATCCACTACTCAAACACACTCTGCGTTCACTATACACACTGCATCCGCTACACAAACACACAATGTGCATTCACTGCACAAACAGTATCTAATACACACAAACACTACATCCATTGCACACATTCTAATTCACTTCCACTATACACACCACATTCAGTCCTGCATCATTGTCCGCGGACTAGGTAGGGCGTGGGCGGGCCTGGGAGAGGGTCGGGGGGGCAGACCTTGTGTTTTGTCAGGGGCCCCAAAATTTCTGAAGGCGGCCCTGACAGTATGCAATATATTATATATCCTTAGGTACTGATCGTGTATGTAGGAGAATTTAAATAACCTAATTTGGTAGGTCATGATGTTCAGAGAGGGTTGTTAAATGCCATATATATATATATATATATATATATATATATATATATATATATATATATATATATACACATTGCCTCCCATCCTCCGTTCGATTCCTGGGAAACATAGAAACATAGAATGTGACGGCAGATAAGAACCATTCGACACATCTAGTCTGCCCAATTTTCTAAATACTTTCATTAGTCCCTGGCCTTATCTTATAGTTAAGATAGCCTTATGCCTATCCCACGCATGCTTAAACTCCTTTACTGTGTTAACCTCTACCACTTCAGCTGGAAGGCTATTCCATGCATCCACTACCCTCTCAGTAAAGTAATACTTCCTGATATTATTTTTAAACCTTTGTCCCTCTAATTTAAGACTATGTCCTCTTGTTGTGGTAGTTTTTCTTCTTTTAAATATAGTCTCCTCCTTTACTGTGTTGATTCCCTTTATATATTTAAATGTTTCTATCATATCCCCCCTGTCTCGTCTTTCCTCCAAGCTATACATGTTAAGATCCTTTAACCTTTCCTGGTAAGTTTTATCCCGCAATCCATGAACCAGTTTAGTAGCCCTTCTCTGAACCCTCTCTAAGGTATCAATATCCTTCTGAAGATACAGTCTCCAGTACTGTGTACAATACTCCAAGTGAGGTCTCACCAGTGTTCTGTACAATGGCATGAGCACTTCCCTCTTTCTACTGCTAATACCTCTCCCTATACAACCAAGCATTCTGCTAGCATTTCCTGCTGCTCTATTACATTGTCTGCCTACCTTTAAGTCATCAGAAATAATCACCCCTAAATCCCTTTCCTCATATGTTGAGGTTTGGACTCTATCAAATATTCTGTACTCTGCCCTTGGGTTTTTACATCCAAGATGCATTATCTTGCACTTATCCACATTAAATGTCAGTTGCCACAATTCTGACCATTTTTCTACTTTACCTAAATCACTTGCCATTTGGCTTATCCCTCCTGGAACATCAACCATGTTACATATCTTAGTATCATCAGCAAACAGACATACCTTACCATCACCTTCTGCAATATCACTATCACTATTGTAGAAGTTGTATTTTGTTAACAATGAAGAGTTTGCTAAATGACTTTGTGTGTGTCACAGGTGATTTATGTGGAATCCTTGTGCAATTCAGGAAATCTGACAGATCCAGAAAACTTGCCAATAATGGTCCATTAAGAGAATACCAATACTTCCAGGCACATTCGATGAATATTCATACAAATATTGCTGCTTGGCTGAGGCTTCATAGGTTTCCTTGAATTTTCTGGTGTGGGAGGTTCATTGATTTCCTGGAGACTTGGGCAGCACAGTATAATACAGAGTATTAATACACCCCAAGTTTCCAGGTAGAGAATAGCCACAGGTAACACACGCAGAGAATCTGCTTATTTTATTAGACAGAAAAATCCAAAAATATGGGAAAACGCAGTGCAAGCATTAGCTGGTGCATTGTCTGGGTCAATCAGATACTTCAATCTTTTTCTAGGTTACATTTTCAGTTCTATATGTTGTTATCAGTAAGTCATGGAGTCTCGTAAAATGTCCTGGAATTGCCCCCCACAAACTGAGCGTCCATATTTGGTCATTGCATTTTCTGAAGGCGTAAACAAGTCCATTCACACTGACATGATACAAGCGATTCTAGGATGTTGATGAACCTGCAGACTATTTATTGCATTTCTAAGTGTTTTTAACTTCCCAGCTTTTTACGTTTTATTAGACGTTTCCACCTCCTTTAGACTGTTGACTGTAAACATTCATGACTCATCGTTGAGGCTTTACCTGCTGAGTCCGTGTTCCTCCCAACACATGCTCAGGTCAGAGTCTCCAACACGAGACGGCAGGTTTTCATTTAAGAGAGAACTCATTTTATGGATTTTTGTTTTTAATGAATGGCACAATGCAACTGGTACACAGATGGTTAATCAATCTCTGCATTTCTTTAGTTCCTCTGCCCGGTCTGCTCTCTCGCAGGTCAGCCGCCCCAGGGCAATAACACTGGCTCTTATTTTATGGCAATAATCCCTTCCCCACCCGTATCCTCAATGTGCCATCCGGTTGTCTCTTTCCACGTCCAGCTTTATTGTTGCTGCCACATTCGGATTAGCCATCTGTCTTGTCACCAGATTCCCAGTGTCATTTGCAGCTCAGATTCAGCCAATGCTAATCACTCTCCTTCTTCCAAGTTCAGAGTTTGGCAGAGAGATAGGAGCTGTCTTTCATCGTTGTGCCCCCAGTGGGCGCCACTTGCCCTTCCCCTGACTATGCATTACTGTTCATCCATGCAAGGTTGATATGCAGGACATCTTCCAGCTCCCAGCGCTCTCTGTGCAATCTATTCTCTGCTAGCAAAGTGATATATAAACAAAACCTGGACGCATGTGACAACGCCGGCTCCCCTCTTTCCACCGCCACAATGGCAGCTTGATGCCAAAATATGCCGAACACCCCCTAAACCCTAATTATTTCATTTAACCTACTAAACTGTTACTCGGTGGACAAATATCCATGCTGTTCTGTGCATTGGCGCTCAAAGAGTTAAACCATACCTCAGCGATCACAGCTAACAAGACCAATAGTCGCCTGAAACCAAATCGCTTTAAATGTCCCAGCTGTATACTAACAGAGACAGTGCCCAAGAAAATCACTATGAGCCTCATTTATCCCAGCCATTTTCTCTTGATTGATAGAACTGGCTGTTCCCTGTGTATATTTGGTAGTGGGAGAAATTGTTTTCGGTACGTAAATGGCTAGAGGGGCTTATTAGCAAGGACTGACGTTTGTTCTGAGCTTCCTGCCACCCCTCAACTCTTTCCGTAAGCAGCGGCTCCTGATTACCAACATGCTCCCTCAAGCAAGGAAAATGCACGTCTGACAAGGACAAACATTTAAAATAAAAACTTGGGAGCGTCGCACATCCCAAACCATAATGTATGCAGGCAGAAGGCGCTCCTGCACCGAGGCTGCCATCTACAAGAGGAGACTGATCTCCTGTCATCCTCAATCATCAATATTAATGTGCTCCAAGAGCATCAGGTTACATGTAGATACTGGGATTAGCCTTCCAGAGCAGTGATATCGAAAGGGTAGTAGATACCTGGATTAGCATTCCAGTAGAAGCAGTAACAGTGATATAGAAAGGGTAGTAGATAGCGGGAATAGCCTTCCAGAGGAAGCGGTAAAGGATAACAGTGATATAGAAAGGGTAGTAGATTCCTGGAATAGCATTACAGTGGGAGCAGTAACAATGATATAGAAAGGGTAGTAGATACCCGGAATAGCCTTCCAGTGGAAGCGGTAAAGGATAATAGTGATATAGAAAGGGTAGTAGATTCCTGGAATAGCATTACAGTGAGAGCAGTAACAGTGATATAGAAAGGGTAGTAGATAGCTGGAATAGCCTTTCAGTGGAAGCAGTAACAGTTATATAGAAAGGGTAGTAGATTCCTGGAATAGCATTACAGTGAGAGCAGTAACAGTGATATAGAAAGGGTAGTAGATAGCTGGAATAGCCTTTCAGTGGAAGCAGTAACAGTTATATAGAAAGGGTAGTAGATACCTGGAATAGCCTTCCAGTGGGAACAGTAACAGTGATATATAAAGGGTAGTAGATAACTGGAATAGCCTCCCAGTGGAAGCAGTAACAGTGATATAGAAAGGGTAGTAGATACCTGGAATAGCCTTCCAGTGGAAGAAGTAACAGTGAAATAGAAAGGGTAGTAGATACCTGGAATAGCCTTCCAGTGGGAGCAGTAACAACAATATAGAAAGGGTAGTAGATACCTGGAATAGCCTTACAGTGGGAGCAGTAACAGCAATATAGTAGATACCTGGAATAGCCTTCCAGTGGAAGCAGTAACAGCGATATAGAAAGGGTAGTAGATACCTGGAATAGCCTTCCAGTGGGAGCAGTAACAGCGATATAGAAAGGGTAGTAGATACCTGGAATAGCCTTCCAGTGGGAGCAGTAACAGCAATATAGAAAGGGTAGTAGATACCTGGAATAGCCTTCCAGTGGGAGCAGAAACAGTGATATAGAAAGGGTAGTATATACATGGAATAGTCTTCCAGTGAAAGTAGTAAAGCTTAAAGGGACCATAACATAGTTGTCCTGGTGTGTGTACTATGTCCATGCAGGCATTTTAATGTAAACTCTGCCTTTTCCAAGAAGGATCAAATTAGTTTTCCAGTGGAAGTTGAAGTGGAATATTGGGAACAAGACTAGTCTTTTATAACTTAAATACTCTGTTACTTTGAAGTTGTCTGAGCACTACGGAATCTATATACATAATAAAATAATAATAATAATTGGCAACAATAAAGATTTTTAACTATAAACTATTTAACTATAAACTTCTAATTCTGGTAACCTGAACACAGCTAAAAAAAATCTAGGTTTTAGCCAATTTTTAAATTAGCTGTTGGATCATTTTTGCAAATGTTAATTTTAAAATATTTTTCACAATTCAATCATCCATTCACTGTGATTATTTGTTTAGCCAATAAACCTTAGTGTGTTCAGATTCTGATAGCGTATTATTATTTTTGTTGCAATCATTTACCTGTGTCCTTCCATTACTTTGCATCTTGCTAACAGAAAATTAGCAACAGTATCATTGTCGCATATATTTAAACATAAAATGACTCTTTTTAAAGTCAGTTTGCAAACCAGTTGCTCGCCTTTTAACAGGTGAACAGACAGCACTGAGTGAGACCAACCACCAGGTGTCACCATCACACCACAGAAACACATGCCCCATCCTAATTATGTGTTCATGAGTTTTTGCATCCCAGCATGGAATTAGACTCACAGCTGTCAGCCAAAAGCTGGAGATTTCAGTTCTAAATGAATGCTTAAGGCCTGTGAAACGCCATCAGAGGAAGGGATCTGTGAGAGGTGTAATGCAGCTTCTAGGGGAACTAGATGGATGACATGAATTCCCAGCTAGTCTGGCAAGAGAATGATGGGAATTGTAGTCTTTTAAAATATGTATATTGTGTATGTTACGGGGAAAAGACGGCACAAATATGTCGCTTCCCAGTGCTGATCTGATCTGCATTATTCTGAAAATTATTTTGTAATTTAGTAAGGGGTTTATTGGCTAAACTGGGAGTTGTAGTGGCAAGACATCCCCCTTGCAGGCGTTAGGTAAAAATTGAAGCTATAAAGGAGAAAATCCCCTGTCTGAGGTTTATTTATATATTTATTTTATTATGGAAGAAATGGTTGGGGACAGCTCTGTAAACATACAAGGAAATTCTTTAGCAGGAGAAAGAAATGATTGAAATCCACCAACACGCTCTCATCATCCTATTGTACGCACACCCTCTGATTAGAACTGGTTTAACCTTGATTTAGGTTAGCTTTGAAGAAAAAAAAAACTTGTACCTCAATTTTTTTGTTCTTTTTTTTTTTTTAACTTCATTGCACAAATTCACACAAAAATCACTGTTTAGCAGATATACCCCCAATGAAACCATGCACATCTAAGTGCTTTAGGTATTTTGAGTGTCCCTTTAAGTAACTGCAGTAGTTGGTTTCTTGGTGTACAAACTGATGTAATAAGCTGTGCGTCACACATTAATGGCTTACGGCACTAGATAGGAATTTGTTTACATATGAAGTCAGATCAATGACATCACTGAAAGCTATCATTTATTATTATTATTACAATTTTTATAAAGCAGTACAGTTTTAGTTGGCTCCCCTGTGCCCCTAGACGGCTGCCTACCATCCTGGGTGTGAAATCGGTGTCTGATTATTTTGATTTTTTATGAACAAATCAGAAGCTTGATTTGATGATTGGAGCCTTAATTAGTAATGATGGCTGTAAATTAGCAGCTCCGAAGCTTGTAATCGCTTTGTGATGAACAAATAGCTTCTCTTTCCGTCACTTCTGACTGATGATAATCGCTGAACATAGATTGAGAGTCAGGACAAGGAAAGCACTCACAGCAGCCAATGGCTCCTTGTAACTGGGGGGCTCTCAGGGTTAACGGTGCAACGGACCCCAGGGTCTCAGAGTGTTTTCCACAGACAGAAACAAGTGATCTTCACAATGATAGAAAAGGATGGATTTCCTTAAAAATGTCATGACTAATTTATATTTATAAAAGTAACTATTTAATAGCATGTTATTGGTTTCAGTGGAGATTGATGAATCTCCCCTATGTCTTGAACAAGTAGGTGTGTGTGTTTATTACACAATGTGTGTACCATTACTGAAAGTGTACTGTACAGCATGACCCATCCCCAGAATCTCCTATAGGTATATAAAGACTGGGACACACACACACATATATTAACCAAGTAATGACTCATCATACTCACCTTCCCCCTGTTAGCATACCCCCTTAACATCTGTGTTCTGTGAAGTGGCTCGCCAAGATCAGGATAAAAGAGGATGATGCGCCAATGAATACTAAGGATGGACCATACAGAGAGACCTGCATCAATGCACAGTCCGAGTGCTCCAACGCATCAAATGCTTTACTTTTTGGGGACAGTTTCTTTGTATCCCCAAAAGCAGAACACCATTGAGCAAAGTTGGTAGAGTGGCACTAGATCCTGACATCAGGTCTGCCCTGCTGAAATCAGGACGGTTGGAAGGCCTGCTGCTAGGGTCATGGGAAAATAAATATATTTAGAGTATAAAGACTTCAGAATCTAGCCATTCACTCTGACGTGCCAATTCACCCTGAAATAGGTGAAGAAACCTTACTAGATTGGTCTCACTTGCAGTAGATAATCCCTGTCACAGAACTAGACAAATTGCAAGGCTTCACTTAGTTTTTGACTGCAGCTCCCATCCTCCTCAGTCACCACCTGATTTTCATGGGAGTTGTAGTCCTGTAAAAGCCAAATAAGCTTTCACTATTGGGTTATCTTATTCCTGAGTTGGACAATGGAACCTGCAGTAATTCCTCCCCCTCGCTCTGCCTCTCCCAGTGGAACATATCAGACGCTGTCACCGGCTTTATGATGGGGTCTAATAACGAAATGAAGAACCGTAGGATCATGACCAATGCTTTCCTTATTACCAGTGATCACTGAGCCGGAACTGACACCTTCTCCAGAGCTGCAGCAAACATATTTCTTTTCCACGTCTCAAAGAGCCATTTTGGGTTACAGCTGTATTTAGTGGGAGACCTACCCCCCGCACCCCCTTTAATGAATAGTGAATCCTGCAAGCTTATTCTGGATCACATGCAGCACTGCATTGTGGCGGATATAAAACATGATTCATTTTCTTAAATTTGTTATTGTTCTGGAATGACTGACCGCTTTTAAAAAACAAGGGAAATTGTTGGTCTGTTGTCTCATATGATCTCAGGAAAGGGAGGGATTATCATAAAATATTAAACAATAAGTACCCTATTTGTAAATGGTCCCGCTAAGTAACTGCTGTAGGAGCTGTCTGGACATTTGGGGTTTGTTTTATAAAACACTTTTTTAATTGATTGCCTCATGTTACATATATGTCCCATGTTTTCTCCATGTGATAGTCACTCGGCTGTGTATACACAAGTCTCAATAAATACTCAGAGATCCAACTGACATTGACATAGATCATTTTAAGGTTTGGTAGAAACATATTAGTCTATTAGTCTAAACATTACGATGTCAGAGCAGTCAGCCAAATCGCCAAGGGATTAATCACTACAACAAATAGCCATGTAAGCCATAATCTGCCAACTGAAAGAAATCAGAGTCACAAAAGGCAAGCTGTAACAATATCTAAAACACATAAAACAGACAAAATGATCCTAACAGTCTCGCTTTTGCAGGACAGTCCTGATTTTGTGGGTCCTTTCCCCTTCTCCTGCTTTAATTCCCTGATCCCAACATTTGGAGACACCGAAGAATCGTCCTCAGACAGCGCAGTGCGAGAGACTCATTAGGCACGCCCACACTTGACGCAAGGCTTGACACTATCTTAAACGATGGACATACTTCCTGTTCAGACCTGCCCTTTATGGGTGGCACCATTGATGTGAGTTTCAGCCCCCCTAGAATGCCCCCCACCTGTCAGATTCCATACCTCACAATGTTGTGCGGTATGGAAGCTTGAGGGTGACAGGGTGACTTTTAAAAGTGGTCATTGTGCTAAGAATCTAAGTGCAGCTTTTCTGCTTGAAATTCAGAGATATTTGCACTTTTGTTTTGGGGGCTGTTTGCACCCCATACTAAGGAACTCTGGCCTAATATCAATTCTGTGCAAAAGTGTCATCTGTTGTCAGCATGCAGGATACAACTTTGTATACCTCGCACTATAGTATCCTTTTACCCTCGCTGTTGAAATAATTTGGACAGAATCTCACAGCTTGGCAACTTCACAAAATGTTGGTGTTTAGTGACTGAAATCACATGGTTTCAAATAGAAAGTAAAACAACATTTAATTTACTGACATATTCTGAGTTATGGGTGCTACCGGCATCTTAAAATGAAAGTATTTTTATTGTATGGCCTACAAAATGTTGATTTAGGTCAGGGGTCCTCAAACTGTGGCCCTCCAGATGTTGCTGAACTACAACTCCCATGATTCTTTGAATTACATAGATAGCCAGAGAATCATGGGAGTTGTACTTCAGCAACATCTGGAGGGCCACAGTTTGAGGACCCCTGATTTATGTGATAGAGAGTATTTTGTTTATTTTATTTATTAATTTCCCCCATGCCGCACTGACCGGTTTGAGCGTCACAGAACCATTTAAATGGCAGCTATCATATTCCCGGAAGCGTTGCTCTGTTATGAGAAATCTGGGGTATTTGCATTTATACAATTATGACCCTGACACGTGTGCAGCAGGTCTCACAATCCAGAAGATTTAAGACAGCAAATTTGCCTTCAGTGACCTCTTAATTTGAGTGCCCGATTTATGTGCTTGCTCCTGTACTGTGAAATCCAATGCTCATTACTGTCAGGGCGGCATCCGTCATCGAGAATTTAATGTGGATGATGTCACCGATCACTTGTTGTTAATGGCGTTGCTGGAATAAGGAAGTAATTTTTTCAGTTAATGTAAACTATTTTCGTGTCAAATCTGAAATGAAAAAACAATGAAAAGTCTATCACAGTCCTGTTTAGAAATGGGTTCTCGCCTGTTTACCTACCCACTTTAAAAAAAAAATAATAATAATTAAAGAGTAACTGTCACGTCTCAGGATTATTAATATTATGTTAAACAAGTGCTTGTGAAGGCAGGAAAATAAAATAAAATGCCGAAATCCACACCACTATATTTACCTCTGTCTCAGTACAGAGCGCCTCCATCTTGGCTTGGTGTCAATCATTGTGATGGGCTCTGCCCTGGCGTCTGTCAATCATAGAGACCGCTTAAAGAGACTGGGAATAGACACAATGTTACGTTACCTTTTTCCTCAACTGCAATGTGTTTCCTGGACGGACTAGATTGTGAAATCAATTGCAAAATTTTTCTGATACATTTGAAAGAAAATGGAACATCATACGTTTTTAATGGAGTAAAGTACAGAGAAGTGATGTGTCTCCTTTAAAGATGACTACTGACACAGAGGGACTTTTTTCGGAAACAAAACCGTCACAAATGAAAATCTTCCTCCACTTTGATCAGAGAGAAGTGTTAGTGTGAGTTTAATTTTCAGGAATTAGGTGATAATTATCTATTAAAGCTGCACGCGGAAACATTTCTATTAATTCCCCTTTCATACATAGAGTTCAAAATTAAATAAAAAAGTTAAATAAAGTTTGCAAATGAAGGAAGTTTAAAAGGCTTAGTTAAAGAAAACATACAACCAATATTGATTACATGGTGGTAATTGGTCCATAGATTGCTACACACCTGTTATCCTCTTTGTTAGCTATTAACCCCTTCCTTGCATCGGCCAGCCTATCAAGGGGGCTGTATATGATGTGACCCCAGTAGCAGGCATCCTATAATACTAACATGTCAGACACAAACCAAGCGGCACTGGGGACTCTGAGCTTTGTGTAGGTTGAATCTTATTTACACAGACTGATTGTAGTTTAAAGGCACATTACTGGGAGTATTATTGTTATCTATTATACACTCAGACACACCAACAATATGGAGCTCCTAGAAAATAGAGAGAGCTCTGGGCCCAACATAGGGAATGTCCCTCCTAAATAGGGACACTTGGGAGGTATGATAAGGAGCTCCCTTGGATCCAAAGTGTAAACTGTCAGTAATTTAAAGTGAACTGTAAATTCAAAGGGGCTCTCTAAGCACCAAAACAACTTTAAATGATTTTGGTGTGTAGATAATCCACATGCAGTGTTACTACTCAATTTGTGGCTATTTAGGAGTTAAATCACTCCTAAACCCCTGGCTAAGACTCACACAGCCTCACCACACTCTGTCTTTAAAGAGAGATCTGATGTTAAACTTGTCTTATCTTCTTCTCTGTTAGTAGACTGTAGGAGCCTCCTGGGTGTGATTACAGTACAAATAACAGACCAAGAGATGAGAACTTCTAAAATAAACATACTATGCAGTAAGAGCTGATTAAAAATTAAACCACTTTTTGTTTTCATGCAGGCTGTGTCAGTCACAGCCAGGGGAGGTGTGGCTAGGGCTGAATAAACAGAAACAAAAGTGATGTAAATCCTAAATGGCAGAGAATCGAGCAGTGAGACTGCATGGATATGATCTATACCCGGCTTCCCCAAACTCCAGCCCTCCAGATGTTGCTGAACTACAACTCCCAACCTATCTATTTCATTCCTAGAATCATGGGAGTTGTAGCTCAGCAACATCTGGAGGGCTGGAGTTTGGGGATACCTATTCTATACAATAAAACTGCTTCAATAAGCTGAAGTTGTTTTGGTGCCTACAGTGTCATTTTAAAGCTAAAGTAGTTACCAAAACCATGACTGACTTTTTAGGGTTTTTTTCCAGTAAAATTTACACTTTAGCTATTATGGCATAACATTTAAAATTCACTTTTAATTCACGTTGAATATCCCTGAAAGTAATAGTTTTTAAGGTTATTCAAACTCCCAATTTTCCAAAAACAAATCGAAATGGAAAAACGACGGCAAGAATAGATAGCTGATCTGGAAAAAAAGAATCTCTGTGTCACAATGCAGCTTTTTTGCCATTTACATATAATTCATAACAATTCCGAGTTGTGCATATAACCCTTACTGCGTCTGCCCAATCCAGGTTTCCCAAAAGTTAATTAAAAGGTTGGGATGTGTGTCATCAGACTGCCACTAGGTGGCACTACAGAACTGTCAGGTACCCAAGCATCGCCTTACTTTACCAATAACATGTAGCAAGCTGTCAAAACCGTAACCAGAGGTACATTTTGGGGACAGGATTTATATAGATGCAGTTTGTGCGTGGTGAATGTACACACTGTCACCTTCCGGTGTCCTTCACGCTATGGGATGGCTGCAGGAAAATGCACAGTGTGTGCGTCTCTGCGTGAAGTCCCAGGTAACCCGCTGGCGGAGACCCGTAATGGCGCAGGATTCCTGCACTCCGTGTTTTCATCATACAGATGGCTGCGCTGTCCCTACGAGGAAGCTCTAAATACTCTAATTATGCTTTAACCCATTAATGCTCGATCAGGTTTCACTGCAATATGTGCATTACAGACAACCGTGACACAGCAATGTTTAAAATCCATAATTCCTGATTTCAGAGAAACGATTTGTTTTATCAAGATGTCAGTATCCATCCAGATAATCTGACCTTCTGATCAAAGCCAGTCCCACACAATAGGTCGATGTCAACTCTTTATACAGATGGGCAGGGCATGAAAAGTACTGACACACCGTATGCAGCATTCATATACTGCAGGAATACGATATCTATATAACTGATTCCCTGCAAACTATGTGTGTCCTGGAAATGCTATCTAAATGTAATTATCTGTCTGTCTATCCTGTCTGCCTATCTTTCTGTCTAGCTCTATCTATTGCTAACCTGTCTGTTTGTCTGTCATTCTTGCCAATTTTAATACAAGCAGTGGATTGCTTTGTTTTAAGAAACATATTATGTATTTACATATGATATAAGATGTAGATATCATTTTATACAATATACTTCTCTGGTACAGTGATAAATCTGTTACACATTCCACGGCTTTATATCAATAACAGGACACTAAATGCCAGATGGACAATAAGAGTGCAGCTAATGTATGAAACATGGAGCTATGGTGACTACTTTGATGGGTGACTTACAGCACAATTCTTAAATAATAATGAGATTACTTTTTTTTTCTCTCCAAGAAAACTTGTATTCACCCCCTGCATGCTATAACTAGGTGTTGCGGTGGTCTGATCGTCATTGTCGTAGTGTTTTCTAATTTATAATTTTTCTAATCTGGGGTTTTTGTGTCATGTTTTGGGCAATGTTTGAAAAGCTTATCAAGTCATTGTTTAATAAGCCTCGGATTCAGTACGATCACAGCGTGACACGCCGGCGGCCCATTGTATTCCAAACAAGAGACCGTTATAGCCATATCGAGCGAGTCCTCGGCAGGAGTCTGAAAACCAACGTGAAAAGCAATATGATTAGCATCCTAATGAACCCACGGTGACATTTCTTTAGAAATATATCAGTAAATCTAGGTATTCGCCATTAGATGGGAGCTGTATTAATCATCGCAGATTATTGACCTGTAATTTTCATTCTGGAGAATCTAACGTGCTATTGTGTTTAGAAAGACAATGTAACGAGCATAATTTCACTGGTAACCCACGTGTTGCAGTGCTCTGAGGTTTCGGGTGTTCTAATTGCTGATTCACCAGAATAAACTCACAGATCCCTGTTAAATTCCTTCACATGGGGAGGGAAAGATTCCTCCCAGCTATAACCGCGCTCTTGCAAGCTCTGGATGAATCAACATGCTGATTTTCCCCCAATTGAGGACTCTAAATATAGAACTAGCTGGCACTGTTCAGCTGGCAGACTGACAGCTACAACATGACTGGGAGCGTCTGTGCCCCCTCCAGCCGCCAGCGACTCCCTACATCCTAACTCCCACCATCTCAAGCTCTCCTTCTCCCATTTAACATTTACTACAGTGTATATTATAATGTATATGTGGAGTGTACCCCATCCTTATTAACATCCTCTCTGCAGGGCTAATTTCCACTCTGAACAGATTCAGGTACTTTCAGTGAACGGAATAATGCCTAACAGTGATATGGAAACAGTAGTAGATACCTGGAATAGCCCTCCAGTGGAAGCAGTAAAGGTTAACAGTGATATATAAAGGGTAGTAGGTACCTACTACCCTTTATAAATCACTGTTAACCTTTACTGCTTCCACTGGAGGGCTATTCCAGGTATCTACTACCGTTTCCATATCACTCTTAGGCCAGTGGAAGCAGTAACCCTGATACAGAAAGGGTAGTAGATACGTGGAATAGCCTCCCAGTGGGAGCAGTAACAGTGATATAAAAAGGGTAGTAGATACCTGGAATAGCCTTCCAGTGGGGGCAGTAACAGTGATACAGAAAGGGTAGTAGATACCTGGAATAGCCTTCCAGTGGGAGCAGTAACAGTGATACAGAAAGGGTTGTAGATACGTGGAATAGCCTTCCAGTGGGGGCAGTAACGGTGATATAGAAAGGGTAGTAGATACC